CGCTCAACTGGTTTTACAGTTTGAAAATTGAAATAACCTTTGTTTCTAACTATACATACTGGAGCAGTTGACACGTAGCAAAGGACTGATTTTTGCTTTTTAACTTAACTCAGTTATTTCTAAAATTCTAGATCAATTGCAAAAGTGATTACATTATAATGAAGTAGCAAAATTTGCTTTTATCATTATTTATACAAGCAATTTACTGTTTTTAATTCAAGTTTCTTTGTTACTATTAGTATGTAATATGTGATTATGTTTTGAAATCTCTTTTATGAAATTTTAAAATCTATTAAAACCTTTGCTTGCAAATTTGTTTTCGTGTTTTAGAATTTCATTATGTAACGTTCTTTATAGAAAAATTCTTTTGAAAAATTGTACGATTTATCTTGACCAATTTAATGTATCAGTCATGCGTTATAGCTTGTAAAAGAGGTGGACATTTTCCAAGTCACGGTTGAAGCTCAGGATTTAACGGAACATGCTTGCAATAAATTTCCAATATATCATGTATTATTCATACGAGACCGGTTCCATAATTCATTTAAAATACTTCACTTGATTCAAATATTACATAATATGCAATGCTCTAATTATGTAGTTACGAGTTTTGCGAATAAATGTGCATATCATTAATTAGCATATGCTGCATTCACTTTGGTTATTGATTAAAACACCTTTTAAACATGGTCTTAACAGGTTTTACTCATTTTTTAACATGATCAACCATTTTTTTAATTAACGACATGATTTTGGTAAATAAAAAAAATTCTTCAAAAAGAGCATTTCTAAACTATAACAATGAACTGACTTAACATAACATAACTTGACATAATTTTAATCAATTTGTAGACTAACAAAGACAATATTGGTGATTTAGAGAGCACTACAAAAATATAGAAAACAAAAAATTGTTAACCTAAACTTTTTGTTTTTCTTTTAAAAACAGCACTTGTTAAATAAAATAAAAAATAAACCCTTTGTTTGTTATCTTGTTTTTTTCTCTAATAACACTGGAGATATCCCTGTAAGCGGCAGGACCAGTTTCAATAAAATGAAAATTATGAGAGTTTATAAGAATTATTCAAGTAACATTAGAATCGCATTTTAGGTGTTAGTAATTGACATTTATTATATTTATTAGAATTAGAAGAAATTAGAATTAGAATTTATGATATTTATTAGAAAACGTGCTTTGATAATGTAACCATATGGTCACTTTGCCTATTTAAGAAATGTTACAATTTTAAGGTTTATTCAAAAAAAATACAAAATATACTTTTATTGGTTGGAATTCTTTGTCCAATTAAAATTAAAATTGAATTTTTGTTTTGTATATTTGGCTGTTGCAGGTAATTTGAGTTTTCCTTTTTACATGGTTGGTGGTATAATAATATATTCTGTTGTTTCTTCTGGATAATCTGTCTCAAATATAACTTCTCCTGTTTCATCTGCTAAACAACTCTTTTTTGAATCAATTTCTGAAACCAAAACTCTAGCAAAAATAAAATTTTGGTCGTTTTCGTCTGTTTCACTTTCGGAATAATCAGATAAGTCTGAATTAGATATTTTTTCAGGAGATAGACGGCATGTTTGGGTTTTTTTTTTCTATAAAAACACCTTGTCTTGATAAAAAAAGTTCATAATCTGTTTAAAAAATAAGTACTTTAGAGGCAGTGCAACCATATGGTTACGTATAAATTTAATTGCAAAATACATCAACATCAAACATTTCTAGACTGAACTAAACTAAGTTACTAGAACTATCATTCTATTCATAATAAATGCCCCAACATAAAAATTTTCATAAAAATTTGTTTTACTATAACCGAAAAAGTTCACTTGTTGGCAACGTATTCAACTATGTCGCAATATGTTGAAAATTTAAAAGTTTAAAAAAAATGATAGGTGGCGCTATTCCTACCATTTTATAAAAGTAGTAACCATACGGTAACATCGCCAGAAATAGGCGAAAAATGCCTGGTTTTAAAATAGAGACATTTGAAGTCAACGTAACCGTACGGTCACAATATCCTTACAGGGATATATAATGACAAAGAATATGCTACAACACCCCCCCACACCCTCCCAAACCTGTCTTCCTGTTCGAAATATGAAATTCCCATTCCTCTGTATCAACATTACTGACCCCCAAACCCAGCCGGCGATAATTAACGACTGTAACACACAAGCAAGGCATTGGTGTGGGACTAGGAAGCAGCGATCATTATAATGAGCGTCAATTCACAGTGGATTAGGCACCGGCAATCCCAACTTTAGTAGCATCGCGCTCGGGGTTTTACCGGTATCTTGGGAATGCTTCCTTTTCCGCTTCTTACACGTCCACGTGATAGCTCCACTTTTACGCAGCACTATGTAAAATTTGACTCGAATCATAACTGCTCTACCCAAATCAATAGCAAATAACAAATAAAAAGGATGAAGTGTCTCAATAGCGAATTCTTTAAGTTAAAGTGCTAGTCTCTAGCGGACTGCTCGATAAACATTCATAGTGATTTCCGGGACCACAAGAATCGCTCGAGCCTACTTCCTGACCGGAATGAAGAAACTCACAGCTAGAACATTGATTCATGCACAAAACCCTTCCTAAATGCTGAAAGGGTCAACGGAGCTTCCTTACAACCACAGGAATTTATATTCATTTTTTAGGTCCATGAGGAAATGTTTAATATCGATAGAGATATTCGTATATCATGTTGTGTCTGTTTTCGGTAAATACACATAACAGAAATATTTATCGTGGGTTATCAAATGTTTGTTTAAATGGGAATTGGGCAGCAACTCATCAAAATTACCCTAATTATAAATTCCATAATTGTATTAGTACTACAAAACCGTGAATTATTATTAAGCTAAACTACTAGAACCAAACAAATAAGTTTTAAAGGCGATATAACATTAAACGTAATACATCTAGTAATAATAAAACTAAATTTATATCTAAATTTAAATGTAGTAAATGAATGCAAAAACGAGTTCATCCAGCTCTATCTCCGTTATAAATATTACAATATAAATCATAATAATGTACTCACCTATGAGGCGTCAGCGTCACACTAAATTTTCAATTCGTATGCGTCCTATACATAAAATATCAATTTACGGAAATACATTTAAAATACAGTACTCACATTTGCAGTTACATTTATGACGCTAAAACATACGCGGCATTTTTTATTTATAAAATTTGAAATTAATTCGTGTATTGTTTTTTTACTTCGATACATTTTCTTTGAAATGTAAAACTTGTACTTAAGAGAACTATCGTATTTGTTCAAAATAACATTTACCATTTTAAAAAATATTATTTTATCTATTTTGTGTCAGTTAGAATATATTGTAGTTATATTCAAATTGAAATATTGTATCTATTACAATGCTACATTTCAGCAAGATTAAAACATTTTTAATAACTAATATTATTTAAGCTGTATCAGGAAAGACTTTTCAGTTAATATCTCGCTATTTAATTAATAAAAAAAGTAAAAGTATTTTTAATGTAAAAGTTTGCATTTATTAATTAATTTTCTTGTATAAAACATAATATTTTACACAAAACCAATATCTCAAATTTAAACTCAATGCTGAAAATACACAGCTTTAATAAATTAAACAACAATTTGAAACACAATTCAATTAGATTTTATGTTTAATTGGTACTTCAATTCTGAATAATTTATAATCTATTAAAAATAAATATATTGTCGGAAAAACTTTTTGCTCAATACAACAATTGCTGAAAGCAAATCAAACTTTATTATTTATAAAGATATTCAATGTGTCACTTTTTTATACAGTTTAAAAATGTAAATGCTTTAAAATTCGGTTTCAAGTGGCTTTACGGAACAAATAATATTATCTTTGTATTACACATTGTTACCAAAGCAAACATATAGCTTTCATAATAGAATATGAAGACAAACATTTTGAAGATTTAGTATTATTATTATGACATGCCCTCTACTATCCTTTAAGTAGGTCATTTCTGACCACCATAAAATACGACTTATTTTCTGATATCATCACTGTCATCATTTACTCTTTCATAGATCTGCAACCTACTCTTTCTGATTTATAACCTCGACTTTTATGTGTTTTTATAATAGAGAATAATAAAAAAGAGAGAACTCTAACAAAGTAAAGGTTTACTGAGACCTTAGATAATTTCTTAAAATACAATATGTAAACATTTATGAATTTTACATCCCAGAATAATATTTTTATTAAGTAGGAGTAGTAAATATTGAAACAATCAATTAGAGAGTAGTTTTTGAAATTCTTGTTCACATAGACATTTGCATTTATATCGTAATGGACATTTAATCCAGTAAAACGTTGTATTAAATATAAATTGACAGGGACGCAGGAAATAAATTGTGCTTGTAGGGCAGACATGTATTCTGCTTTGGGTGTAAAACAAGTCTTTAATTAGAAACTTTGTACATGCGATTGAATTTGCTGACCCATTTTAATTTTTAGAAAAACATAAAATCTGCAACGTTGTAAATCAGTTTGTCATGTTATTTCTTTCAGTATATCGATTTCTGTTTCAGAATTGTACGTTTCTTTATGAATATACTTTCAGGTAGAATGGTTACAATTTAAACATTTAATATTAAAACGGGAACAGATCCACGCTCAGCAGCAGCATTATGTCGAATATAATTTTGAATTTGAAAATAAATAGGACGTTTGCGTCAACGTAATCAATTTGATTATGTTCTTGAATTCCGTCGTTTCCATAATGTTTCGCAGGCGCGCCATTGCTGATCTAGCCCAGAGATTGTTTGCAATATCTTAAAATCACCGTATCCCAGGGGTAATAAGGTTCTGCTTATATATGCTTTTAACTCTCCAGTGAACATCTGTACACAAAAGAGTAAAATGAAATTGTGTCAAGACTATTCTTTTGCCGGTAAAATGGTAAAATCCTGCCTTGAAAAAACGGACTAATGAAGGTTTGCAGAGAAATGCCATAATTTTGTTTATTTTTACAATATTTATTTAAACCAAGAAGAAAATTATTGACAAGCATTAACAAAGTAGTTTCCCCGGGCATTGCGATCAACATTTTCTCCAAAAACAATGCTCTTATTTTGATCGCACTTTCCTTCTTTGAAATTTTCAACAGACTCACACTCGACACCTTCAAACTTGTTTGAATTTATGGACTTGGCAAAGAGTTTCACAGGCATAAGCTTGCCGAAATCTAGAAAAATTTATTATCATATAAGAACCATAAATTCCAGGTAGACTAAAGTAAAATACCTTCCTTGCATTTCTTGTCATCTATATAAAATCTCACATGGCCTTCTTCAGGCAGTTTCGCGAATTTGCTCAGATCCGAGTAAACAACATCAACAAAATTAGCATCTCGAATGTCTGTCTTGGTATTTTCATCATTAATTAAGTAATAAGTGGGATCCAAAGCCGTAATCCTGTTTACTTTTCTTCCAGTTAATTCCAAAACTCGTTTTCCTGCAACGGCAGCAACCCGAGACCCCGCCAAAACCCCCACTAAATGAATATCTAAGTATGATTCACCGGTTTTATTAAACAGTGTTTCGATAAACTCGCTCAAGAAAAATCCTATTGATTGAGTTTGATTCGAAGAGTAAAATTTCGAGTCGAACTCCCAGTCAACGAGAAACACATTATGTACCTGCTTCGACAAGTATTCTTCCATGAGGTCTTTATACCAAGCGTCGGATTTTCCTTCGGGCTTATCTACCCCATTGATTATAAAAATTATCGGCTTCAGCACGTTTACAGTCGTTTTCTCGATGTCTTCGCTTCTTAACAACCGCCCTTCTTTATTGTACGCAGTAACGTATCTAAATGTCGGCTCGTCAACTCCTTTGACGCCTAGTATCACAAATTTGACGCAAGTTTCGAGAATAAAAAACAACTTACTTACACAGAACACTACAGAAAAGTGCAATACAAAATAACAACTTTGCAAACTTCACCACCGACATGATTGGACACAAGACTCTGAAATACTGCGTCTATATTCAATTGACAAATCTTTATTTATGTTTAAAAATTGTGTGAATTGCGCATTTTACACTTGACAAGGTCAGGTTTGATGTTCTAAGAAATTTGTCTTTCACAGTGTTTTTGTAAGACTAAGGAGAAGTTGCAAGGTGCAAAACAAGACATAAAATAAGTGTTTTCAAAGCAATTCGTCGTAAACTTTATTTATATTTCAATTTTTTGTCTACTGAATTCTTTACTTTGATGGGAATACCCATATTGACATATTTAACAATATTATTGTATTGTTAAATTTAGGAAGAAATTTATATCAATAAGCAAAAAACTGTATAATTTTCGCCTCATTCAGTTTAGAGTTTTAAAAATGATGTGTTATTTTTTTTTATCTTACAGGTTGAGTTTACCTTAGACCATTGTTTTCGGTGATAGAAATCAAATATTATTCACAAGTGAGATAAAGTACTCACAAGTGAGTAAATTTGACTATTATATTATATTTACTATTATATTTTTATAGGTGAATATTTTACTTGAATTTTTTGGACAGTTGCACCTGTAAGAGAAAACATCGTATATCACACGCGATCGAAATGTCATTATGAAACTCGTCAGAGTTCTCACTCGCGTATAATGATGCATTTCTATGACTTATTAATGTAATGTACTATTATACAATAACATGGATTTTTAATAATTTCAGTGTATTAAACGGTTTTACTTTGAATTTTTACTTTCTATGCTTTTTTACTTTTTATTTTGATGAGAAAAAACACGTTTAATGATCTCAGATGTATTTCAGTTTTCAGTTTTTCAGAGTTAACTACTTAACGGAATGTCAGGTTGGTTTGATGTTCCAAGAAATTTGTCTTTCACAGTGTTTTTGTAAGACTAAGGAGAAGTTGCAAGTTGCAAAACAAGACATAAAATAAGTGTTTTCAAAACAATTTGTCGTGAACTTTATTTATATTTAAATTTTTTGTCTACTGAATTCTTTACCTTGATGGGAATACCCATATTGACATATTTAACAATATTATTGTATTGTTAAATTTAGGTAGATATTTATATCAATAAGCAAAAAACTGTATAATTTTCGCCTCATTCAGTTTAGAGTTTTAAAAATTATGTGTTATCTTACAGGTTGAGTTTTTGAGCTACCTTAGACCATTGTTTTCGGTGGTAGAAATCAAATATTATTCACAAGTGAGATAAAGTACTCACAAGTGAGTAAATTTGACTATTATATTATATTTACTATTATATTTTTATAGGTGAATATTTTACTTGAATGAAACTTCATTTTTTGGACAGTTGCAGAGAAAACGTCGTATATCACACGTGATCGAAATGCGAATATGAAACTCGTCACAGTTCTCACTCTCGTATAATGATGTATTTCTATGACTTATTAATATAATGTACTATTATACAATAATATAGATTTTTAATAATTTCAGTATATTAAACGGTTTTACTTTGAATTTTTACTTTGTATACTTTTTTACTTTTTATTTTGATGAGAAAAAACACGTTGAATGATCTCAGATGTATTTCAGTTTTCAGTTTTTCAGAGTTAACTACTTAACGGAATGTCAGGTTTGATGTTCCAAGAAATTTGTCTTTCACAGTGTTTTGTAAGACTAAAGAGAAGTTGCATGTTGCAAAACAAGACATAAAATAAGTGTTTTCAAAACAATTTGTCGTAAACTTTATTTATATTTCAATTTTTTGTTTACTGAATTCTTTATCTTGATGGGAATATCCATATTGACATATTTAACAATAAATTGTTAAATTTAGATAGAAATTTATATCAATAATCAAAAAACTATATAATTTTCGCCACATTCAGTTTAAAGTTTTAAAAATGATATGTGCTATATTTTTTTATACAATAATGTGGATTTTTTATCATTTCAGTGTATTAAACAGTTTTACTTTGAATTTTTACTTTGTATCCTTTTTTTCTTTTTATTTTGATAAGAAAAAACAGGTTTAATGATCTCAGATGTATTCCAGTTTTCAGTTTTTCCACGGAATGTCTGGCAATTAAATGATGCTCCTGATGAAGAAATTAAAGATTCTAAAAAGTTGCTTAAATTCAGCTTCATACAACCAAATAATTAACCAAATTTTTCATAATTTTATTCAGTATTTCAGTCTAAATTTTATTTCCAGGACACGGCATCTTGCCCTTGGAGGTACCATTAGAAGCGTCAGGAAGTTACGTGCTCCAGACATTAGTAAACTGCACCGGAAACGACCGCTGCGAACTACAAAGCTCGTCCCAAATGAGACTTGTCGGACCTGTCAGGGACGTCATTATTCGTCCTGCCAAGCATGCCTACAGGCCTGGAGAAACCGGTAAGATGTGAATTCTAATTTCCACTGGAAATGTATGTTATTTCCAAACATTCGCTAATATTACCAAGAGCAATTTCGTTTAAATTGAAGGATTATCCTCGAAATGAAACACTGTTGAAAAATTCCAAGTTTTGGAACTTTCGCAAATCCGGTCATTCACTCTGGAAAACGCAATTATTTGACTTTTTTACCGAATCGCTCGGAATTAATTTGATTTTTTTACAGCCGCGGAGTAATAAAATTCTAATTATTTAGACAAAATTAAAACTTTATAGGTGCATTAATTTAGTGAACTTACGGGAGAAGATAAAGTTTAATCACCTCTTTTAGGAGCTTGTTTATTGTTTCTTTTCTTAAACCTATATTACAAATCCGTTTAATCGCTATTTTAAAAGTTCGACTTGTATTTTATAAACTTTCTCAATTCGATGCTCTAGAATTGTTTAAAGTTCTTTTCGGGAAGATTATAAGAGCTTCCAACTTCGTTTTTGTATCTCTTTAGGGAATCGCTAACCTTTCGATATTGCGTTACGAGATTAAATAAGTTTAGATAAGAGAGTAATAGATAGGAAGAGAAAAAAGCATATTTTATCAAGGTAATTTGCTACTCAAATCAGTGCTTTAAATATATGATTAATTACCTTACCACATTAACATTAGACTACATTTAAATATTTTTTTTATCTTTTCAGTGTCTTTCTGGGTCTTAGCGTTGGATCATGATTTGCAGATTGCATTAGGAGCTATTGGAAGTGTTAGCATTAAAGACCCAGCTGGAACTAAAGTCGCTCTTTGGGACCAAGTGGCTTTAGACGAAGGCAAGTAAAGCCACAGATAAATTCATTTCACTTTCCAAGAGTAATTATAAATTTTGAGCTGGTTAATAAAAATTACAAATTTAAATCAAGTTGAAAAAATGTTTCGAGAAGATTTTCACTTCACTCAAATGAGAAAGATTTTTTCTTTATTTGCATTTCTATCTAAAAAATATCCCCGACAAAATTACACTTTCTCAAATGTGAATTTTACATTTATGTATTCTACTTTTTGTAATTCAGGAGTGAAAGCATTCACGTTGCCATTGTCAGAATACGTAAATTCTGGCAGGTGGTTGCTTCACGTCGAGGTAGAATCTGCCGAATTTTCCGCACCTATCGAGATAGCTCCGGGTGCGGGAAATGGACTTCCTGATGTTGCAGCAGCCGAAGAGCATTACGTCGAATTGCGTTTCGGCAGGGAAATGAGGCGCAGCTATAAGCCAGGCTTACCGTTCGCTGGAAAGGTGCGAGAAAAATATTGCGTTGGATAAAATATCGCTCACAAGCTGTCAAAATAAACAAACTTTTGCAATCATTAGTTTAAAATTTTTACTTCAATTAATAACAAACAATTTAATCCATAATAAACCTTGTTTTTTTATCTCAAAGGTAGAAGCAATGAGCACGGAAAAATCTGTACGTGTCCGTGTCAAAGTGTACGACAACACCACTTCAATATACAGCCAGGATATTGAAATATCCAATGGTGAAGGCACTTTTGTCGTTCCTGCTATCTTGGCTGACAGCAATATTATTGCATTGCAGGTAAATAATCTATTATCCCTATTTTCTAGAAAAGCTTTGAAATACATAAAAGCACCGCCAATAATAGAGATGCATACAAACGAAAATGTACTCGATTTTAAACAATAACATTACTGTATTATTTGTCTATTTTGGTTTTTTCTTTAGTTATGACTTAGCTAATCAAAACATTTCACTGTAAAACACAACCACAAGCGCCGATAAAACGCGTTCAACAAGCCCAATTGAATAAAAGCAAATTTAGCGATCTCTTCTTTTAAGTGCAAGAGCATGTAGTCAGGTGATATGGGAGATCGAGTGTGAAGAAATTTGTGTACGCTCCATAAAGTGTTCTTTATTTAGAGATAAAAGCACATCAGCAGGACAAAGAGAAAATGATATACAGACGTTGAGGGAAAATTTTATCACGCACGATTCTACAGTGTAAACATCAATCAGTTAAAACAGCAAATCATGCAGTCACAAACAGATTTAAATTTGTTAAATCTCGAAAACTGTTTAATGGACGTTTGCGTTTACACGTTAAAGTGAACTATTAACACATTTATTAGCAGGAAAAAATTATGGTTTGTAATGGAAAATTAACAAAATAAAAAAATCGGAAAAGTTTGTTTGCAATCGTAGGAAATGACAAAAAAATTGTTAAAAAATTAAATATGAGATAGACTTATTGTCTATTTTTACTTAGCAAAAATGCACATTTTCCCGGCGCATCCACCATTTTCGCCTACAATTTTAAGCAATTGAAACGATCTTTTATTAATTAACAAATGTTTGAAAACACAATTTAATTAGATTTTTTTATATTTAATTGTTTTATTTTGTACTCAATGTTAAAGAGTGCTTTTATCAACTAATTTCAGTAGATAAAATAGTCTTTTATCGTCTAGTGAAATAATAGTTATTTATTCGACGAGTTTGAGTGTAAATCGGACTCTTTATTTGACCGAGTGGATTTTCAAACCACAAGTGTAACGAGTGGTTTACCATCCACGAGATGAAATAAAGCGTCCGATTTACACTCAAACGAGTGGAATACAACATTTTATTCTTCGAATTAGAGTCAACAAGGCTTAAACTTGCTTTAAATCTGTTAAAAATAATTAGACGTTTTGTATTGAGAAATGCCAAACAATTGTCAAAACTTCCTTACACGGGAGAAAAACCGTAAATTTTGACAGTGTCGAAGAATAAAGTAATTTTTTATCTACTGCTTATATTTCAAGAAATTCTGGTAGGTGAGTACAAAGTAAAACTAAATATTATACACCGACGATAAAGATTGTTTATCGTCTTGTATATTAAATAAATACTATATAATTAATTAATCCATAATATAATAATGGATGGTTTGTTCCAGCACCCCATTGTTTTTATTAAAATAAAAAAATTATCACCTATTAAACTTTAATTTTTAACGTTCTTTTAAACGCATCTATTAAACTGCTATAAACTATGCATGTCACTTTTATTTTATTAAACTGCATGATATTGCAAAAATAATTATTAATCATTGTTTCACTAAAAGCAAATAAAAATGTAACTTTATTACATTTTGTTGTCAATTAAACTTTTATGGCAAAACGTTTTTTAATTAAAATTATTGATTTGGGTGGTTTTCATGCACAAATTTATACTGAAACGATAGAATAATACCAGTAAATTGTTAATAGGTATGTTATCTAACAAACATTTTTAATGTTGGTTTAGATGTGAAATTTATGTCAAGAAGTCTCTAGTAATCAGTACATTCTAAAGCTCCTTTAGATTCTATTATGAAACTGGCCCTTAGTAATAAATATTGTACTTAATTTTATAAATGTTTTTTGAAACGCTTCACTAATTAAAGCAATTTATTAATTAAAAGAAATAACGTTGATATTTTTCTTTATCGACCTGTTTCAGGCGGAGCTAGTATCAGTCGACAGTAAAGAGATTGAAAGCCATTACGTGCTAGCGAGAGAACCAATCCATAAATGGAACTCATCTTCGGATTGTTATCTCTTGATTGAAGGGGTCGAGCACACTCTTCAGGTACTTTCTTCTCAAAAGAAAAAACAATTGTCTTTCCTCTAACGTTGCCAAAATTTCAGCCGGAAGAGGAAGCTCACGTCGCTATCCTCTCCACGTGTCCTTGCGAACGTGACCTGCATTATGTCATCACCACCGACGGCCGGGTCACCGACTGGGCTCAACGCCGCTATGAAGATCCTGTACCACCCGCAACTTCCGCTTCCGCGGGAGCCGTTTGTCGTCTTAATTTCAGGTTGGTCGCAAATTATTAACGAACGAGAAAAGTTGATTCAATTACGCCACCCCTAAACACGTTTACGTCAAAGCAAATGATAAAAAAGGAGGTCAGAGAAGTTTTACGCTTGCAAGTTGAATGTAAACAAATTTCGCTCTTTTACTTGCCAACAGATTCAATCAAAGATGTAGACTTGTAAAAAATTCGGATATAGTGGATAAAAACTTCCCACATGTCTCATAAAGTTCAATTGAGGAGAGACTTCATTTCAGCAACACTTTCAACTCAATTCGTTGCTCCTAGTCCCGAGGGTGTCAACACCAAGACGCTCATTTAGATAGTTTTTCACAGAAGAGAGCGTAATTGTCTAAGGTTTTCTACGCTCTTTAACTCAATAGAAATTAACGTTTTTAAGGCACTTGAAACAGATTTCACTCCTCTTCTCTGTTCAAAAATTTTAAAACCAAGTATGCATATAAACACAAATAAATATATAGGAAGATTTGGAGCTTTTTAATAATTCCCTCTCTTGAACAAAGACAATTAACAGCTTAAAACTTTATACTCACTGTTATTATTTTTTATTCTGTCTTGTTAAATGTAAATCGATAAAAAAGCTTAGCACATTTTATCAAAAGGCGCATTTTTTAAATTGTGTCCGTTATTTATAACCCATTTTACTGATAGCAATCGCGGAATAATGGATTGAGTTTAATATTTTAAAATATTCTTATCTTAAATAGTCACGTATTTATTTGATAACAAATTAGGTAGCATTAACTTTTGTAAATTTCCATAATTACCCAGACGGGCAAAACTTTGGTAAAACTAAATTACATTTTGCATATAATAATAAAATTCCAGACGAGCTTCTGGTACAGAATATAGCAATATAATTTCGCATCTTTGAGGAAGACTTCAATGTCAACATGACTATTTTTCCTTAGTCTTTGTTGCGAGAGATAATAATAGAGTTTCAGGATTTGGCTTGTTTATGCAACAGATTTAGCCGATACCCGGCGATGAATGCAATGGTACAACACTCAAGGCAGCTGAAATTATATCCACCAATAGCCCAAGTTTACACAAACAACACAAGTTTGCTTTCCATTCAGTTTCAAATGCAATTAGCAGAGCAAATACGAGCGAACAAAATTAAAATAAACCGCGATGATGAGTCTCCGTTTGCAAACTTTATGACGTTTCAGCACCGACAACAATGCATAAATAAAAAAATTTGGGATGAAGGCAAATATTTTGACATGGAATTAAGAGACGCTCGTTGTTTGACGAACAAAAGAAACTTTGCCAATTTTATCATCATATTTCAGAAGGAATCTGCAAATATCCAGAGACGAGTTTATAAACAAAGCCTAGGTAGCGTATTTAAAATTGTCAACTAGAATTCTCATCATCGTTGGTTAAATTAGAAACTTTATTTATTTTGGTGCTGATAAGATTGCTCCACTTGGCTTGCTTGTTTATCCGACATTCCAAGTTCTAGTTCTGTCATATGGAAATGCAGAAATTGCTGATAATAACCCAGCAACGCTTTGTTTTATTGCAAGTAAACTTAGGGAGTTGTCTGATTCCTTTCATACGTTGTGTTTAATGAAGTTTAAGTTTCACCCGGCTGTGAAATTGACTCCTGTCTCCAGGGAGTTTCACGGAGCTACATTCATTTTACGGATTATAGGTTATGTTTTGTGTCATAAAAACTTCGATAATAGGCGCACCACCTTATCATAAAATTAAAACTTCCAAAGTTATTGTTAAAAAGCTCTAATAAAATTACAAGGGAAAGCTTCTAGACGCAACCATTTCACTCCTACCGCTTCTTCAATTAAAGTAATACCTTTGGATATTATCGGAGTTGCAAGCAATTAAATAACAGCATGTGCTTTCCCTATACAAATTTTGCATCATTTTATGTTAAATGGAATAAAGTTAAAGCAATTTGCTTTACTGCAACGACTACTATCTACGAGTTAGTTCGCTAGATATAACTTGAATACAAAATTTCCATTCAAGTTGTAATCAGTAATTTCAATAAGAAGCATTGTATCGAGGAGCTGTCAAGTGTCTTTGTCTACATTTTGTTACTAATTTCTACACCATTCCCTTTGTTTCCTTTTTATTCGATTTAAGTGCAAGCTTCATAATGATAATAAGGTCGTTTTCCAATTATCTTTTTTTACCAAGAACAAAGCAAAAGTAATAGCAAATTTATGTCAAAAATTTTAGTTTTTAATTTTTATTTAACAGTCTGTTGCAATTAAAACTTTCCAAATACATATGTGCATATTTTATTAAAAAAATGTATTCATAAAGCATTTATAAATAAAAATAAAACGGAACATTGTACAATAAAAAAAAGAAAATTATAAGTAATCAATAGTTAGTTATGTATCAAGGGCATAATAAGAAGATTGAGACCCGAAGTAATATTTAAAGCCCGACGTTAAGAGGGCCGTAACAATAATGCCTGTGGTACATACAACGATTTATTGTGTTTTGGATTGCGTTTTTTTTGTCTCAAATAAGAATTGGCCATATCAAAAGTCCTAAATGCGTAAATAATTACAAAAATTTTGTGTGTAATTTTTTTCTGATCTCATTAAAAAAATTAACTTGTATAAAAAACATCTTGTCCAGTAATTGTCCTGACAATGCGTGATTAAGGAAAAAAAAATTAAAATGCAGCACCTATACAGGGTGTTCCGTCTAAACCCCACATTAAAAGTATTGGGAGTTCAAATAATCATATTTGTTTGAAAATTGGTACATAGCCATAATGCATTAAGTCCTCCGAAATGAAAATATTTTGAAGATGGCGGCACTTCCGGTTATACCGGAAGTCGCTCTCAACTTTCTTATTTTAAATGGAAAGCTCTATTTTTTACTGCTTTTTGGATTAATCGGGTTATTTTAAGGAAGTTTTTATCAGCTTTCCTTATACTTACCTAAATTTAGCCGTTTTTGAAATATTTGGAGTTTTTCAAAAATTTTTAGATTTGCACCTTCCACTTTAAAAATCGGTAAATCTGCTATTTTTTTAAATTTTGATTTCGTTTTTATGGCGTTTGAAAGAGAAAGTTTAGATCTTTCTTCCAGTGTTTTCAAATTAAAAAAAAAATAACAAACCATAAAATTTTAATGTTACTTTTGTAATAATTCAAATACCCATAGCTCAATTTTTTGAAATGAAATACCCTAATTTTTATTTTACTAAATGGAAGACAATTTAATTCTGCATCGATCTGTATTAACATTCTCTAACGTAAATTTAATAATTTTTAAGTTATGGTGACTTTTTGTTAAGACTGCCGAAAATCTATTACTAGCCACATCCGTTTTCGTATAGTTTGCCATGGAAATAAAAAAAGTCAAAATTGTGTCTCAATAAACGACCACAGTGACTTATTATTTAACAAATAGTGCCAAAATATGGAGAGTCAAAGCTACTCAAACTAAGATTTAATTAATTTATTTTGTATTTATGAAGAGTGTAACAAAATTATGATGTCGTTCATTAAACAAAAATAAATTTTTCTTACTTGTTAGCTTTAAATAATGATCGCATGGTAGAACCTATCAATAATAATTAAGTTTGCATAACTTCGATTCTCCATATTGTGGCACTATTTGTCAAATAATAAGTCACTGTTGACGTTTATTGAGAAACAATTTTGAGATTTTTGATTTCCATTGCAAACTATGTGAAAACGGGTGTGGCTAGTAATAAATTTTCTGTAGTCTTAAAAAAAGTCCATAACTTGAAAATTATTAAATTCAGGTATAGGGAATGTTAATACAGATCAATGCACAATTAAATTCTCTTCTATTTAGTAAAGTAAAAATTGTGGTATTTCATTTGAAAAAATTGAGTTATGAGTATTTGAATTATTACAAAAGTATCCTTAAAATTTAGGGATATGTTATTTTTTCAAAATTTGAAAACACCAGAAAAGGATCTAAGCTTTCTCTTTCAAACGCCAAAAAAAACGAATTTAAAATGTTAAAAAATGGGAGAGTTACCGATTTTTTAAGTGGAAGGTGCAGATCCAAAATTTTTTGAAAAACTCTAAAGATTTCAAAAACAGCTAAATTTAGGTATAGAGAAAGCTGATGAAAACTCCCTTAAAATAACCCGATTAATCCAAAAACGCAGTAAAAAATATACCTTTCCATTTAAAATAAGAACGTTGAAACCGTCTTCCGGTATAAGCGGAAGTGCCGCCATCTTAAAAATATTTTCATTTAGGAGGACTTAATGGTTTATGCTATGTACCAATTTTCAAATAAATACGATTATTCCAACTCCTAATACTTCTAAAGTGGGGTTTAGACGGAACAGTCTGTATATTATTGTGTTACTAAAGGTGTTATAACTAAGTCAAAATACAGTTTCTTGGCGATAATATTGTTACCAAAATTTGGTGATAAAAGCTGTGTTAAAATGTAACATTATCTTTTTTTAGTTTTACTGTGCGATCTGTGATGGCTCCCGTTAGTCAACTTCTCGTTTACTATGTAACTCCCCAAGGAGAGCCCGTCAGTGATGTAATTAGTTTTGATGTGAAGTTGCTACATAGGCAGGTAATTAACACACCAATAAAGATATTTTTAGTTCAAACATTTTAGTTCACCTAATTTGAAAACAAATCAGAGTAATGTTTTCTCTCCTTTTGTATTTATTACTCAAACAATAAAAATTTCAACGTCTTTCAAATCCATTGTGTAAAATTCTTTCTCTTTAGTAAATCCCTTATGTGCCCTTCTTTGCCATTGTTTCTTTGAAAGTAATACTTCGGTAAGCTCATCCGAGCTATTCTTTAGGGTCACTTACTTTAAATCCGACGAAATCAATTTAATTTTTTTCTAATTGAAAAAACGAATTAAAATGTTAACGATTTTTAAAGCTTTTGTATAAAAGTGCTTTCGTCTCGCTTCGAATGTGGATTAACCCACAAAAAGCTATCGTCAACATGATTAATTAAACAATCAATTGAAACAATATTAGATTATCGGAAAAAAATGATTGATTACACCCAAGCGTGCATATTTCAATTATGATCGGTCCTGCAGGTTTACGTGAATTTGGAGGAGCGCGAATATTGGTTACCTGGCCAATCGCTGGATGTGGAAGTGGTGGCAGAGCGCTCTTCTCTCGTTTGCCTATTAGGAGGCCGCTCTGGAGGGAACGGGGACGTGAAATTCGATCCTCGAATTAGGTAAGATAAATGATCGGAATTGTTGCACGTATGATACATAAATCATCACATTACGTCCGGAACATTCGATAAATTCGATTTTCTCTTCCTTTCAATTCGATTTGTTGCAGCGAAGAAAGAGAGCCGGCAACGGTCGCCGGCGAAATTGACTTCCTGGAAGCGGGAGTTTCCTTTTTTCAACGACAATGCGTGAAAAGGGGCAATTCGGGAATATCGGCTGTGTCCTACAGACAAAGGGGCTCCGGTGCAGGGCCGTCCAACAGAAGAAGACCTCCTGAAAGCCTGGTGGGAGGTGCACCATTTGATCAACTTTGGCTCTGGAAGTGCTTTAATTATTCGTAAGTAAATTAACTCGTAATTATTTATTACCGGGCGTTAAGCACAAAATAAATCTAAATTTAGAATTTGCTCGCTCGAGTTTTACAACGGTTTAAACGACAATACAAAAATGATAGCAGATATCTGAGGTCTCGGGAGTTTCAACGTCAACAAAAGGAAAACGAGGACACTTTCTAACATCGTTACCGCGTTTCAAAAAGTTTGCTTCGGAAAATTAACTAAATGTACATTCTGACGCGGATCAACGAAACAAAAATTATGTCGGTTTGTTATTTCTTGAATTTTTAAAAGGTGATTTATCTTTAAACGTTTTGAGTGTTGGAAAAAGTGAAAAAACAAAAAAAAACTAATATTTGCATAATATACACCATATCCCAAGTATAGAAAAAATTGCACTATAAGTTATTAATTCCACCATATTTATTTGAATAACCCTTAGTTTTCAAAGCCTTATTTTAAAAATTGTTACTATTTTAAATACTCATGTATTTATTAAAATTATTTTTTATAAATAAAATGTTTATTTAGTTAAACTTAAAGCATAAGCTTTTTTAATACTTCATAATTATTCAGAGAGCCAAACGCAAACTTTGGTAAAAAAATGGTAAAAAACTTACATTTTGCACATAATAATAACATTCCACTAGAAATTTTTTAACAAAACAGTGCAATGAAATGTTGCGTTTCATATCTTTTTAGTTTTTTAAAACAAAATCAATGTACTTGTTGAAACGCATTTAATTTTACTATTTTACAAGACAAGAAAATCTTTATTATTTTTTTTATGATTCCTAGCCCGGCGCAACCACCATTTTTATACAACTACGATTACAACTACGAGTATAAATCAAAAAATGTAATGAAATATTTACCCTTTTTGTTTCTTGTTTATTAAAAATTACAGTTAGTCTTTAAAATTCTTCAGTTTAGAAAATAGGTCCGTACACTGGAAATAGAAATTTATTCTTTTTAGAGTGCGCCAGAACTCGCGCCCCAGAGAAAATTTTCAAGTAAGGTAAGATACCAACAACATGAAAAAAATGTTTAAAAAATTCTGTCAAAAAATTTTGACATTTATTTTTTGACATTCGACATTTTTTATATCTATTTATTAATGATACTGATGATCTTGTATACGTTTTTTTACAATTATTTAGTAAAGGGACAAAAATTTTGCCAATAAAAGCCACAAATAACATTGAACAGAGTTACAATTTAAGATACAGCTTCCTTGTTTCCTTTTTTAATAGCTTAGAGCAAAAATCTTGGAAAATTATTTTTCCAACAGAAATAAATAGAGTCAAAGTGCAAATTTTAAACCCTCATAACTCCGAAATTTTTATAGATATATTTTTTTTACATTTTTCCCATGTTCCTGGTATCCTACCTTATATGGTACCTTATATTTTCTCTGGGGCGCGAGTTCTGGCGCACCCTGTAGGCTAATTAGATCAAATTTATTTAAAAAAATGATTAGGTTTATAAACAACTTTATAAGAATAATAAGCAGAGATAAGCGCAAAGTTCTTTCTTTGCATGACGCGGGTCGGATAACTTAGATGACGAAAGATTAATTTTCTTCTCATTTACTTTTTATAAAAACCGGAAAAGGTGAAGGAAAGCGAAAGCTCATTCGTGTGATTTGTAATATTGCGACTTCTTATCTTATTTTAGTTTGTTCTTGGTCCTGGCAGTTTCAATTTAAAATGTCGGCATTACGTTAGCAAAAATTTAATCTTATAACGAATTGCATCATTATTCTCACAAGCGAAAGTGGTTTTCATTTTTCACAAATCCGGCAGTCAGCGATTTTAAGTCAAGGCGTAAAAATTATTACACTTGCATGAGTAAAAAGGGAAGGTTCGGTAATTCACTGCAAAATTTCAGCTGGAAAAATATTTTCAAGCGGGAGGATAAAAGGGTCATCGGTTTAAGTCACATCATGTGGTAGTTTTCTGATCGCTTATTCTAAATGGATGTTATAAATTCGATTTTTACAAGCGGCACTTTTTGCCACTGGATATCTCACACATGCCGGCGGCACTTCTTAGATGCTGATGAAAAAGAGATTTTTCATGCTAGTGCTTCGATAAATCATTGAATGAAATAAAAAATTGTACGTTTGTAAAAGAGAATTTAATTTTAAGTCACTTTTATGAACACAGTATGTGCTATATCCTGTTAAGCACTTATTTGAAGCAATTTCAAAGTTTATAAAGAGTCGTTTCTCGCCAACGATTTTATAAAGCTGACAGTTTCTAAGACATTGTGGTGTAAAGCACATTCTGGTCACAGTGTTCTATTTAGATGGAATTTATTCGAACGTAATGCAGTTAAAGCAACCCATCGCATGTTTGTACCCCAATGTGCCCGATTAAAGCATTAAATGGAGCACGTTTAAATTTATGGAACCACATCCGTCTATGGTACACATCCATAATTCTCTAACAGACAATCCTTCGGATTTACGTCCTTCTTGGGGCAGCGTTGTTTAATTTGGCGACATGTGTCTTGGAATTTATGTAGGGACGCTCTTATTAACTGTAGGTTTCCGTATTTCCTATGATATATCTGTTTTGTTGAGAGCATGCTACGAATTCTTGATCAAGACAAAATTTATAGCCTTATACTTAGTATCAATCCACTTTTTGTTCAACCTTTTTCTACATTTTTATAGTTTTATTTTTCAAGAGGCGTCCATCCGCATTTGTTAACTTTTTCTCAAACATAATTCACAGATGACGGCCAGAATGGTATTTTTGTTTTTAGAAAATGTTGGACGTTTTATGAGGTCGACGATAAATTCCTGCCATAATTAACACTCAGGAGACTCTATTTTTTAACCACAATGTTTTCAACTTGGGATTTTTATTACTTTACTGCTTGTCAACAAAACAAAACTACTTTTCAGCTAGAGGACAAATAAGGAGTAAGCAGATTATTTCTCAAATTCATAAAGGAAGAGCGAATTTCTCAACATATTTAATACAGAACAACAAACAACAAAATCTTATATATTAATTAATCTTAATTAAATTGATAACGTTGTTGAGGTTTCCTTTATAGACCTTCACGTAATATACATTTACCACAAAAAGATTTAATTAATTCATTTCGCAAAGTTGAGACATGACACTATAAAAAATAACAAATTGACTCATACTCTTTGAAATTCTAGCATTTATTTAATTGGAAACCAAGATATTTAAAACTAATTGAGAGCGGCTTCTTTATCAGAAAGAATAATAAGTTTGTTGACCAACCAAGAGCCATATATTTCCGTGAGTTATTCTTTGTTTCCAGATCAGAAATTGCTTCCACCGGACTGACTATTTCGGCGCCTCAAGAAGCCGGTAAATGGTCTCTGTGGGCTTTAACCGTGTCCAGCAATGGTCTGCGATTTTCTTCGTCCGTAAACGTCCAAGTTTTCCGACCTCTGCAGGCGGAATTCCATTTACCTCCTAGTTTGAGAGTTCGGGAAACTTTGGAAGTCGACATTAAGATTGGAAATAACATAAACTCCTGCATGGACGTAAGTGGATTTGAACCCACATTTATTATGTGTTGTGACATGCTAAAGTTTTCCTGTCTCATAAAAATAAGTCACGCTGTGACATAAATGCAGATGGACATTACAAAATGCAGACATCACACGGTGTTACAACTTTCTCACTTGTCACATAACAAAAGCATTGTTAAGTCATGGACCAGAACAGTGAAAAGATCGAAGACTTTAGTAAAAAATAATCAGAAAACTTTGGCTCGATTTTCTATATCAAATAAACGAGTTTATAAAGTTTCGACTTCTTACCGGAGAAATATAATTTGAGATAACTTTCTGTATGGTCAATCAGAAGTTGAAAAATAATCGATATTAAAGACGAAAAACTTTACAATATCTGCTTCCACTTTCTTAATTTCTCTGCAGAAATGAAAGTTTATTTGCCAAGCTCTTAAAGCTTTAAACAAATTCAATTCAGATTAATGTTAATGAAATAATTATTGGCCCTTTTGAAACTCGTTGAAAATTCTGTTTATCTTAATTTACGCGTCTGTAATTAAAGGAATCAGCCTGAATGCAGGTATTGAATAGACTTCTCCTTCGTTGTCTGTTGAAAGCTTCCAAGGATAAAATTTCTTCTTTATATGAAATAGATCCGTTGCTTTTATGTGTTAGGTTTGCAAGTTTTAGGCCTTGTTATTTATCAAAGATTTTGTGTTGGTTTACTTGTCTGATTTTATGAGAAGCCAAAATGTTATTAGTCTTATTTAATTTCCTCACTTATATTTCTAGAGCGTTTTAAAGCTTTTGATATTGATTAATTATAGGTGACAGCACTTTTAGCCTTAAGCGAAGGAGCGCAATTTCTAAGTAACGGATTGCTCTACGTCACTGAAAGGCTCCGGTTGGGTCCACATGGTGCTACATCTTTAGTTGTCAAACTTTTAGTTACAACTCCAGGTGTGAAAAATATGACGGTGGAAGTAAATGGTTATACGAGTCCTTCGTGTGAAGGGAGTGAAAAACCGGGAAACACATCTCTAGCAGGAGCTGTGTTTCGTTCAGCAACAATTAACGTTTATCCCGAAGGAATTGTGAGAACAGACACCGAAAGCGCTTATTTTTGCGCCAACGGTAAGTTCATAAAGTATCATATTAATTAAGTAAGTGGTTACTTTCATTTTGAGTTGTAAATTTAATATGAAGAAGAAAAGAGCTCTATTTGGGTGGTAAAAGTTAGAAGTTACATAAATTCAAGTCGAGAGAATTTCTCTGTAAAATAAACGAGTCGGGAAAAATATTAATAATATACATTGTGTCCCATGATAAAATTAAAAAAAAAAATATAGGACATTGATGATACTAATCTAGTCCATCGCCTAAAACTATTTTCTCAAAAATAAGTTACAATGACAAATGACAATGATTCTACGCTCAACTTTAGTGGTCCATTTTGCTTAGTTTTAAAAATAAAAGACGCTTTTTTTGACGAAAACATGCACTTTTTAAAAATTTATCCTTAAAAACTAAGACATTTAGAAATATTTTTTTTCTACTGCAAAGAACAAGGTACAAGCTGTATGGTTGTAACATTTTTTAAGAAAGATTTTACATACAAGATTCTGCTCTATCTACTACAAATATTATTT